AAAACTTACAGACATAGGATTCTATCTTATGTGTTTAGCCAAGAATAATTTTGAATTCTTGAATTTTTTATGTGTACAAGTTTATACGTGTTCCAAAATGCATTTAAAAATGGAACGGATTTCTATATAGAATAATATAAAGAATCTCTGCACTAATCTACATTTAAAATAAAAAATAAATAAATTATTCAATGCTTAGTTGTATGTAATTTTGTGTTTTTCAGAAGGGGGACAAAATATGCACCTTGTGATTCTATCCACTAATAAATTGTACTTGATAATTTATTAAAGGCATATTTTTGTACTTGATTATTTATTAAAGGCATATTTCCTTAATTAAATAACTTATAAGAATTTTAGTAAAAAGAACTTCTCTTATTAATGTTATGTTATAATCAATTGAAACGTCAACTTCTTCTCCATAATATTAATCATTCAGTATTTCTTCATTAAAAATAAATTAATATCCAAATCAAATGAAGCCATGGACAAGTTAATATATTTCATCTTACTATTATATTTTTATTTTTTTTGGAACTAGGATTAATCATTTTTTGGTTATGTGACTACCTGTGACTGCCACACCAGATTGATCTAGTTGAACACTAAACGAACTCAATCAGAAATAGTTTGATTCTAAATAAATAATGAAGTGTCGGGGAACCTCGCATCAAAAATATTCTAAAAGGTATTTTTTAGACACAGTTTTTGTTATCTTTCTATACCAAACAACCAATTCAAAAGGTGTTTATTGGTAGCAATAGAGGCAAGATGAAAAATCAATAAAAGAAGGCACAAGAGGAGACCAATAACACGAAGTTAATGATTGGTTTTGGAAGCACAAAACAGCAAGATTTTTCTCTCGAATGGGCAGCCACGTTTTTCACTCTATGCACACACAAATCACACATTTAGACGGCTAGGTCAAAGCAACATATATATAGGAGTAAATTAGGCTTTAGTTCGATCAATAAAAGGGTTAAATGAGACAAGATTTAAAACTATCCAATAGGTAATATATAGAGGCCATGGATAGCATTAATTTCTTAAACTACTTCCAACGGTCTAGTTATTTTCAGGTTGAGCTTTTGGACTTGGTTGTTGGCAATCAACTCACCATTGGGCGAGGCTTGTGACATTATATTCTGACATTTACACCGTCGCCTAGGATTCATTGGATATCAAAATCCAACAAATCTCCACCTTAATACTCAATCAATTTGCAAGTAATAAAAACACAAAGTTAATACTTGCATAATCAAGGTAGCCAATAAAATTGGGATAGTGGACATTACATTGTGTTTCGAAATCGAAACATATATCATAGTTACTTCATGTACTCATCAGGGACAAAGTAAAAAATCACCTAATTAGAAGCCGATAATAATAGTAAACAATCGTAAGCAAATAAACATGCAATGAATAAATAAAAAAAGATAACACACGGATCTTTTCAAAAGATACGTTTACACAGAACAATAGATTAATACCAAGTTAATCAACAAATGGTCAATACATATGCAACAAATACATAAATTACCTCACGAAATCATCTCAGTACACTTATCATAACCCATTCCGTGTTTCTTACATCTCGATAACACATATCTCCTCTCATTACCTACCATGCTCATTAGACCAATCATTCAACTCATATCTAACTGGTAAAATACAGTAGATTCTAAGTCCTATGGATAATCCTCTATCACCACAACACTTATTTCAATGCAAGTGTATAAAGGGTCTCTACCTATTAGAAGTGATATAAGTATTTGTCATACTCCACTTGATAAGGGTTTTTAAGATAAATGATTCCAATATTTAATCACATCTCCACTCGTGATCTAAATGCCACACTCCATATCTCCGGTCTATACCACTAATATAGCCATAGGCATCTATACTCCATATCATCAATAGACATACAACACGCCTATTGTTAGTACATCCCAACCTACTATGCAATATGCATGCAAACACATTACACCAAGTAATCATATTGTTTCCAATTTCATGCAAATTCATATATCAAACACATTGGAATGTCATATAATCATGCAACAAAATTATGCAATCACATACATGCAAAAAAGATTACACAGAGATGAACATGTAGTAATTATGTTTACTCACAATAAACTTTACTAGGGTCATCACTCGACACTATAGCCACACCTCTTATCTTACCATTCCACTTATCCTTCTGTTTGGGATAGTTTCCCACTAAGTGTTCAGACTTACCACAATTGTAATACCGTTTACTACTAGACTTGTCCAAACCCTTGCCCTAGGGGTGTCAATTTGGCTCGGACCGTCCGTAACTAGGCCCTAAAAAAACTCGAGTCGGCTTGGCTTGAGGCTCGGTAGAATCGAGCCCCATTTTGGGGCGTCAACCTGAGCCTGAGTCACACGGGGTCACTTCAGCTTGTGATAAGCCTACCTTTAAAAAAAATGCAGAAAAAATATTTAGATTGTCATCAAGATCCTTTAAAGAACCCATTTTAAAATCGAAATTTTTTTTGAGCAAGTACGACTTATTTGGAGTAGGCTTAAACAAATATAAGTCTTTCTACTTTTTCCAAAGTTCATTAGTATAATCGAAATTTTCAATCTTTTTAAAAACAGTGTCAGCTAGATGTAAAATAATTAAAGTGTATGAAAGTTCATCATGTTATTCTTTTTGTGCTTCTCTCAAATTTACAGGAAATTTGTCATCTATGACTTTACAAACTTTTGTTGAACTAAAATCTCTTGCATCTTCTGTTACTAAATTGAAAAATTCCATTTATCCATTAAAAATTCCAACTTCGAAATATGAACACATTAAAAAAAGAACAACCAAAGTGCACAAATAAGTCACCAAAAATAATCCTAAGGCTGCAGTATACAACATTCTAGATTCATAGGATTTTGTGAAATTCAAGATCTCAGTATTAAGGAATGTCCAAATGGGTCATGTTCAGGTGTTCTAACGGAATAATCAATGTAACACTAAGGTATGTAAATAAAAATTTAGTTTCTCACATAATGTAGTCACACATAGTGACTTAATGGCAATTAAAATAGAAAAGCAATTATCAACTTGTAGTTAAATTTTCAACACTTCAAATATGGCGAATAAATCATAAATTTTTAGCACAAACAATGGTTGCCCTACATGGTAACTCTAATCGTAATGTCATCCCATACAAGGACTCGTTAACGCTGAAATTTAAATGATGACAAGCCAATATACTAGAATGGACAAATTTGAGTCCGTAAATAATGAGAGTTGTAAGTTTACAACTTTAGAGCCACCACTCTTCGTCCTAATGTCTCTAACAATTGCAGAAATCAATTAACCATGATCGAATCTCAACAAGCAGATGGCAAAATCGTCCAAACTTCACCATATAACCTGGGACAGAAAATTTACAATACCAAAATATTTGAAATGAAGTTAGGACCAAACTAACAGAAGACACTATCACTAGAAAATCGTCGAACGCGCCTCCACGCGCACTTGAAGTCTTTGCGCGTATGTTTCATGAGCCACCATACACGTCGTCAGACCTCCTTCTGGTTTGGTCATAAATCAAGAAAACAACCTTGATTTTTAGGCAATTTTCTAGACAATTTTTCAATTTGTTTTTTTGCTTCGATTCTGCAATTTCCTGGTTGGTTTTTAGTCAGATTTTTGAGACAAATCTACCACCTTGAAACTCTGATACTAATTGTTGTGGAAACTGGTTTCAAAGATTTTCTAAACGATGTTCTTGGGCTCAATTTGGCATTACTTTTCTTTACTAAACAACCAATCCAAATGGCTTCAACCCTCAACCAATATATTTATCTCGGTTGCTTCTCAATCTCTACACGAATGACAATATAACAATGTTGATTTATAGTCACAAAGACAATAATAAAAATCAATAAAAGAAGGCACAAGAGGAAACCAATAACACAAAGTTAATCACCAATTTTGGAAGCACAAAGCAGCTGAATATTCTTCTCAAATGGGCAGCCACAATTTTCACTTTATGCACACGCAAATCACACACTTAGACGGTTAGCTTGAAGCAAAATATATATAAGAGTAGATTAGGCTTTAATTGGACTAATAATAAAGTTAAATGGGCTAAAATTCAAAATCATCTAATAGGTAAACATATATTGGCTGTGTGAGTAGCATTAATTTCTTAAACTACTTTCAACCGTCCACATTGTTTTTCAGTCGAGTCTTTAAAACTTCGTTATAATAATTAATTAACCATTGGTTGAGGCCTATAAAATCGATGTTTACATCATAGTTCGGAATTCATTGGACATCGAAACCCAGCATTATGGTTTGCCCTAATGATGGAAACCAGCCAAGATTACGTTATATTGTTGCACGCTTAATGGAAATGTCTCTTTTTAAAAAACCATATCGTGTAGAAAAGTAAAATAGAACTTTATAAAGATTTACATATAAAAAATACATAATGATTTAACAAAGCATTTCAACGATTTTTACCACTAACTCGTCCAAGAACCATTGTGTTACCATAATGAAAAATTTTAAAGTTGCGGATTATCGAGCAACATGTTTGAAGATGAATATTGTAATTTTCTCAAATTTAAAAAGAGAAAATATTTGATTCTTTTAAAGTTAAATTTCCAATAAGTTGGAAAAAGAAAATAAAGCGATAAAAAAAATTGAACTCTAAATTGTAAAGCATTCAATATACGTAAGAGTAATGCTATTCATAATTGTTTATTATGATAGTCGTCCTACGTGATATCCTCACGATATTTTGTGATTTGTATTAATGTATTATTTTTTTATCTCATGTATTAAATTACTAATATCACATGTTTAAAATTACTATAAAAATTGTGAGTTTCGTGAAATGAATTTTAGAAAATAGGTTGAAAAAGGCACAATAAATTAAATTTCTTTGTAAAAGAATTTATTTTATTGCAGTAAAAAAAAAAATGCAAAGTTCATCAGTTTCTGTTGTGGCTGTATTTTTCAGCGATGGCACTTTGAGATGAGCGCTTTCTCTCTCTTCCTCGATTCGTGCTGCTATTATTATATAGTACCATCTCTTTTTCTCTCTCCTCCTTTCTAAATAATACGAAAATTTACAGAGCATGTGAAAAATCAAGAAACCCCCAATACCCAATGCTCAGATTCTTCTTCTTCAACAACCATTCATCAACTCGCTTTTTTCCTTTAGTTTGTGTGCAGAAGAGAAACCCATATCAAAGAATCCCAAGAAAATCATGAAAAGGGAGAATTCGAACCAGGAAAATTTTGCCACGAGTGGGAGTTCTAGTTCATCCAACAAGGGAAAGATGTGGTGTGAAGAACAAGATGCAGGTGGTGTTGATGAACTGTTTGCAGTTTTGGGTTACAAGGTTAAATCATCTGATATGGCTGAGGTTGCGCAGAAGCTCGAACATCTTGAAGAAGTGATGGGCAGTGTTCAACAAGACGGGCTTTCTCAAATAGCATCTGATACTGTTCATTACAATCCTTCAGATCTATCATCATGGCTGGAATCCATGATTTCTGAGCTTAACCCTCTTCCTAATTTTGAATCCTTCAACTCTATTGTTCAAGATCCGTTCCTTGAAACATCTTGTGTTACTAGTATTGATTCTCACAGCTATAACAGCTTGAATAGCCATGCTCGTTCACATATATCTGTTTCAACCCAGCAACAAATGGTTGTTGATTCAGATTTTGGTTCAGATCTTATTTCTATTCCGGGGAAAGCTGTGTATCCCCCAAGTCAACAGCACCCACCGCTCCAGCATCAGCCACAACCCAAGAAATTGAAGCCATCATCATATTCTGGTATGGGAAGTTCCAATACTGCTTCTTGGGGTTCGCCTAATGAGTCCATTTCTGCACATCCCATCGAGTCTGCCCGTCCCATGCTCCTGGTTGACTCACAAGAAAATGGTATTAGGTTAGTCCACAGCTTGATGGCTTGTGCAGAGGCTGTGCAACATGAGAACTTGAAATTGGCCGAGGCTTTGGTCAAACAAGTTACCCTCCTTGCAGTATCACAAGCAGGGGCTATGCGAAAAGTAGCTACATATTTTGCTGA